AAAGTAGGCCAATGAGAGAAATAAATAGCCTTTTATTATCCATCTAAAACCATGTAGGTATTTATTTATTTATGAACACAAAACCAATTATAAATCAGTATCTATTAACAAGCATTTAAAGGTTATTATGTTATAGTAACTCCCAGTGGTGCAAACACTGTTTTTCTGGATTGACAATAGTCAGATATGTTTAAAACCATCATGTATGTATTATTGGATCTACAAAAAAAAACATTTATGCCTGACACTGATTGGTCGGACACTAGTCATGGCAACCGGACAATTTTGACCTTTGTCTGATGCAACCGTGCATCTCTGTTTTTCTTATTTGTAATAGTTGTCAGCGTTGGGTAAGGTCTTGGACTGTAGGCTATGTACGATTCAAAGATTCTTTCTGTGCCATCATGTGTTGTCTTCTTTGGAAAATCCATGAATGGATGTATGAGCTGTTTTTCTGCTGTAATGGTTTAACAGTGAAAGTAGATCCGACCCGATCACCTCTGGACTTTGAATGAAAGACATTGATTGGGCTGTACATCTGAATAGGACTAGAGGTGAAATAGAAAGAGCTTGGAAACATAAACCAGTACCATTCAGTGCCTCCAAACATATGAAAGGACCTTTAAATAACTTTGGTTTGTTCCTGTTACCGATGAATTGAGGCCAGTAAAGGGCAGACACAGCTTTCATCTCTTCAGAATATAAACAAGTCAAACAAGGCGGATGTAGCTGAGCAGTTCATGATAGAATTCGCCTCCATTTTCCCAGTGTCTGTCCTTTATTTCATTTGAATCTGAATGCTCGAAGCTCGCAATTATTCATTACCTCTAAGCTCCGTCTGCAGGAGCGTTGTGCGTCGAGAGCATTGTGGCCTTCTGTTTTCAGGGTGAACGGCTTTTCCTAAGCAGATTTACAGAGGGGGGAAAAGTAAACAACAAGAAGATGCTGCCAGTAGATATGAAAAACAGACAGCTGTAATCTCCCGCCGTGGGGCTGCTGAGCTGATATAGGACTCTGCTGGATCACCGAGGCTTCTTATCAGCACTGGGGGAGACTGTGCATGTATGAAAACTGATATTATATCTATAGCACAATATCATATGTAAATGATGCGGTCACACATGCAGACTGGTTCCATATGAAATGACATATCCACCAGTTATGACATTGACTCCTTTCACATGATGAAAAGACCGTATCGATGGGAACATCGAGCTGAAGAAGTCATAGTTTTCAAAGAAAAGGATGACAAAAGCTGCCATTACACCTAGCTGTTTCTTTGTAGCTGATGATAGTTAAAGCACACCATAATGATTGTTTTTCACATCTTCTTTTTTCATGCAAATAAACAAAGAAACACATGAAAGGGAAGAGGAGAGACAGTTCTGCAAGCCGTCGACTTTCTCTAACACCCTGTTTACACTCCCTGCAATGGGGCTATGCGCAAAGGAGCCCTCTGCTCGTAAAGCACAGATTTATGGGGGAAATTAACATATCATTAACATACCACAGGCACTCTTAAAAAGAAGGTTATTTATAATTAGGTGACATCAGAGACACTGGGTTGCATTGCGCTGAGAGGAAGAAGAGGATTGGAAAGGCCCCGGAGAAGACTTGTTTTTCATTTTAGTTTGAGAAGGAGAAACTGGGACGCCAAACCTGTTGTTTCCTCTGCGTTGTGGTGGGAGACTTTTGGGGGTTTTGCTGTCCTATTTCTCGCCATCAATAACATTAAAGTGGCACGCTTCTGTCGGGTCTGAATGGCCTGTGCAACCCCTCGCTGTTTACTCACTTTATTTTTCTGTTGCAGTTTAAATTAACTCCTGCTGAAAAGGAGTGAGTTACATCTGCTCTACTTTCAGAAGTTCAACTAGAGGTGGGAAGTAGTGGAGTACAAATACTTCGTTACTGTACTTAAGTACATTTTTCTGGTACCAGTATACTTTACTCAACTAGTTATTTTTCTGACGACTTTTTACTTTGACTTCTTACATTTTGAACACAAATACCTGTACTTTCTACTTCTTACATGTTGAACCCAAATACCTGTACTTTCTACTTCTTACATGTTGAACCCAAATACCTGTACTTTCTACTTCTCACATTTCCCAAACAGGCTGGTTCCTTTAGTTTGAATGTGTGTTTGGTGGCGTGATCATTATTATTTAGAGTCATTGCGTGCCTATTGATTTGAACACGATCCGTGTATCCATCATTTCCTGGTCTTCTCTAAAGAAGAGGGACCAATGAAAACGTTGTCATGTTGCCGTTGTTCAGCATGGAAACATTCATTAGCTAACAATGACATTATTGTTCTATTAATATAAAGGGAGGTCAGGTACTCTTTAAAACAGCTGCTAGTTATGGGTACTTTTTACTGAAGTACATTTCAAAGCCCTCTTTACTTTCACTTGAGTAAAGAAGTTTAGTCAGTACTTCTACTTTTACCAGAGTATGTTTAAACACGAGTATCTGCACTTCTACTTGAGTACAGGATGTGTGTACTTTTGCCATCTCTGAGTTTAACAAATACATGGTATTTTATCACTTAACAAAGATTGATACCTCAAAATCTGTGACTTTCTACATGTTGACGGTACCTGTGGTTGCAAAGAGTTGATTGGGTACATGTTAAAAATCAAACAAGGAATAACTTGGTATTTACATGAGTTAGTGAAGAGAGATATTACAAAATTCAGTCAAATGCATGAAAATAAAGATGCCATGTGAAATGCAAATCTGGAGTAGCAGTTGTTTTGAGCAGACTTTATTGGCAGTATCCATCCAACATGTCTGACCTCACAAGCTGATCGGCATCTTGCAATTGACATCACCTTGTGTTATACTCCACCATACAGATGGATCAATGTATTAATTAACAGAGCATTTGGACGTAAATCTGTTTGTCTGAAACTCATTTTGTTCATTCAGTTCACCACTTTATTCTTAATATTAGCAAGTGTTTAAAGGAGTTGTCATGAAATCGTTTACGGACATTTGGAGTCAGACTTGAAACCCCATTGAGTTTGACATAAAAACATGACGAAAATGTATATTGTGCGGCTGTTGACAGTATTTTAAGATTTATGGAGTGATAAAAAGAGATATCCAAAATCCCTTCTGTAAAAACGTTAGATTCTAATATGACTACAAAATGAAACAATAATTTTGAAACTGACTTTATCCAATGTTCAGATTTGAGTTCCTGAAATGTATTAAAATATGCTCATATTTAATGATATTATGGCTCATTTGCATATTTAAACTTGCTATTTCAGAAAACTTGTAATACAAAAACAATTGTCTTAATGCAAGTAATTAACTGGAGAAATGTCTTGCTGATACCTTTAAGTTAAAGTACTTGATTTGGTAAATGTAAAAATGTCTAAAAGAACCGACAACATTCCCTTTTCTTTTGTACTAAGTGCGTATTATCCATGCTAAACTACGACCAACATAGTTGAGAAAACCTGCTCACTGTCAACAACAAGCAGTCCTTGATGTTACTTTAAAAAGTGGATATTTGGGGCTATACTGTTCAAAGTAAAGGGAACCATAGTATGATGGGTTAACTAAAGTATTGGACAACATTTCACCAGTGCTAGCAACAAGGTCATGGGATTACCTCTTCCCTTATATATCTACCCCACATTGCAAGATAATCCAAAGGCTTTATGATTCATCCCCTGAGGGACATGCATGACTACAAAATCTGTGTCAATCCATGTTTAAAAAAACATAGTTATTTCACTGATTTTAATTGCACATGCTGGGGACAGAGGGGGTCGCTAAAAGTCAGAAGGGTTAATACAATAGTCACCATGGGTATCTGTACCAAATTATTTTACTTCAAAAACATTATTGACAAAGCAAATGTTTGTAAAAGATAAGGTAGTCCTTTTTAGGGTTAGGGTTACGGGTTTGTTATCACCAAACTATTTGAAGTCAATTTGTTGTCGAAACATTTGGTTTTCAGCCTTTTAAATATGGAGGTTTCCTGCTTTTGACAGTTTTGTATAATATTAAGTGAATATCTTTGAGTTTTGGGTCGACCACACAAAACATTTTTAGGATATTACCGTTGACTTAAAAACAGGGACCAAGATATTCACTATTTTCTGACATGTCATAGACAAAATGTGTCCAGTTTAAAGGTGGGGTAGGTAAGTTTGAGAAACCGGCTCGAGATACACTTGTTATATTCCATGGAATGCTCTTAACATCCCGATAGCAATGAATATCTGAAGTGCTTTGACAACAAATCCATAAAAAAATGTTATCTGTGGAAGCCGTAATACTGTAAAAAGCACGACCAATCATCTGAGCCGGCCCGGCTAAAATAACTGGATGGCCTACCTGCCTGTCAGCCTTCCATCTGTGCACAAACTTATCTCGTGCCCTCATTGGTCATGTGCGCGTTCGTGTGTGTTGGAGGAGGGGCTCTGTAAGGAAGTGGCAGATTTTTTCCGGCTGTGTATTTTCAAATTCCAGCGATCTCGAGCTGGTTTCTCCAAACTGACCTACCCCACCTTTAATCTTCAATGACAATAATTAATTTCCTCTTAAACCATTGTTTAGTTAATCCTTACGAGCCAAAGTTACACATTGTATTTGAACAGAGTAACAGTGATCTCAAGAATTAGATAAAAAAACAGAGCAGAGATATTATGATCAACTGCATGACAGTACATACTTTATCTGCTCATATACAACGAGAACAGACAGCTGTGTGAAAACAAAAGCAATCTGTTAACCCAGACAGCTGCAGTGGAAGGAATTGTCAGGATCGTCCGTTTGCAGACTTATACGCTTACAATAACCCACATAAATATTTCCTGTCCGTCTTTTTTTGTAACTTTCCAGCATCAAACCTCATTATGTAACACACTCTGCAGTAAATCCTTTTTTCGAAATGCAACAAATAAGATAAATGTTGCTGACTGTGACAGGTTGCCTCCCTAGACAGCTGATATATGAAACTGTTGTTTTTCTACCATCAGGAAGAAGAGCTACGGCAAAGCAACGAAGGCAAATATAACCATCTGAACGAAGACCTGCACGTCCTCATCGAGGTGTTCGCCCCCCCCGCCGAGGCCTACGCCAGGATGGGTCACGCTCTGGAGGAGATCAAGAAGTTTCTTATACCGGTATGTTCCCTTTGTTCCACACATACACACACTTTCTCTAGCTTTCACTCTCCTCCACCTGAACCTTTTCCCGGCTGCTCGGTTGAATCACTTTCAGCTTGTCCATGAGTGAAGTGATTGGTGGTTGGATTGAGTGTGTGAAAAGCGTCTGGTGTGGCCCAATTCCAAACTGAACCCTACACACTCCTACTGCAAGACGAAGTCAACTGTAGTAGTCACACTCTTTACCGAATGTTGTTTTTTCATTCAAGGTGAAGGGTGAAAACACAGCTTCTCCTTCTTCTCCTGCAGAAACAGGAACTGTCGTAACTTTTGGTATCAATGTTTTAAACGGCGCTTCATGTGGCAGACCCTCCACCCAAACGTGAAATCGTAGTTAAGGCCCTGACACACCAGGCAGTCACCAGAGAACTCGCCGACACCGACACCAACAGTTCCATCGACGAGTTCTCCTGCGTCTTGGCCATGTGTCGCACTGGAACACACCGCAAAGACTTCAGCCGAGCACGTACGAACTGCGCATGCGTGAGTGGCAATAACTCTCCTTACCAGCAGGCGGCGGTAGTGTGTACTCGTCATTCAAAATAGGCAACAACCGGAAGACAGAGAAGAAGAACAGACTGATATAAACAAACAAATAGCGTGTGCGTTCCATTTTTCACTCTCGTCCATCGAAAACATGTTTTAGAATATAAAAATACATGAATGATGAAATGAGCACATAAAGTGCAGACATACTATCAAATCACAGTTAACAGACCTGCATCTGATGATCGCAGTGTTCTGGAGGGTGTGTCGTTTATTGAGTCAGCAATGTAATAATGTATGTAATGTAATAATGGCCACTTCTTGCTAAATGTACATTTCCATGTGATGCTTTTATCCGAGGCGACTCACAATAGGTAAATGAACAGCAGTAGACAGTATCTCATTTACTTAGACACTGTACTTAAGGACAATGTTGAGGTACTTGAGACTAATCCTGCAACTTTATACTGACAAATAAACCCATGAGATGAAAAACCGGACTTGACCAAACAAATCACGGAGCTCTCAGCAGAGGACAGCCGGGGACGCCCCCGCCGATATCAGAGATGTCCCTGCTATGTGTGGGAGGTAAGAGAGGACATTTAAGGGCTATGTTTGATTTCTTTAAGTATCACCTGCTGGGGTTTAGCTGCTGTCCTGTGCCTTCTTAAATCGTTTGTTTACGTCCCTCACTTCCGTTTCGCTTCTCATTTGCTAGCTGAACAGCTGATCAGAGTGGTTTCTTGGCCCGATAGCTTGTGTCCGTATTTTGGCCGATTCAACATGTTGAATCGGCCGGGTGTCGACCGTGAAAGGCCAAATAACGGTGTCACGGCCGAGGGTTCGGGACACACCAAATTGACTTTGAACAAATCCATTAAAAAATATCATCTGTGGAAGCCGCAGTACTGTAAAAAGCACGACCAATCATCTGAGCCGGCCCGGCTAAAATAACTGGATGGCCTACCTGCCTGTCAGCCTTCCATCTGTGCACAAACTTATCTCGTGCCCTCATTGGTCATGTGCGCGTTCGTGTTTTTTCCGGCTGTGTATTTTCAAATTCCAGCGATCTCGAGCTGTCACGGCCGAGGGTTCGGACACACCAAATTGACTTTGGGCGACAAGGAACGCGTTGTCGCCAGACAACCGAAGACGGCCGAATACGGCCTGGTGTGTCAGGGCCTTAAAAGTGGGTTAGGGTGTAGGGGAATTGGAACTGGGCCAGTGTGTGTGATCCTGAATGGGAAGTCGTGGGTACTACAGGAATAAAAGAGCACAGGAGAGGATTTCCGGGAGCGCCCTCTCCTCGGCAGCTGCATGGCGCTTATTTACTCTTCCTCCATTCATTATGGATGATCTCTGCAATGCTCGGAGCTATGATGATTTACATCTCACCATTAATTATCAGCAAACCACCACCACCACCCTTCATGTAACCTCTTCCCACTCCTTTCATAAAGCACATTTATTGACAGAGCACACACATGACAATCATCTCAATCGTTTTATGATTAGAGACTTATTTCCATGTTAATTATGCATTTTAATGATGTGGCAAAGAAACAACTGTGTGAGAAGATAAAGGCAAAATGCGGTCCCGAGGATTTATCAGTGGGAGATCTGAAGTGTTTTGCTGCCTCGGGAACAGCGGTCATGGCAGTTCTGTAATGTACATTAATTAGATATTCCCGGGGCTGTAGCCCTGGAGATAAAGGAGGGAATTGAATCCAGTGTAATTGAAAGCGGCTCTGTTGCTGTTTGTGTGTGTGGGGGTGAACACGCTGCCTCTCTGTGTGCAGGATTACAATGATGAGATAAGACAGGCCCAGCTGCAGGAGCTCACGTTCCTGAACGGAGGCTCGGAGGACGCCAAGGTGCCGTCGGTGAGGGGGAAGTCAGCGTTGCGAGCCAGAGGGACGCCTGTTCCAGGTCTTCCCAGGTAACCTCCAGACTCACATTCAAGATCCAAGGCTTTTATTTTCATGTGTACATAGTAGGGCTGTGCGATTATGACAAAAATCATAATCACGATTATTTGGGTCAATAATTGATATCACGATTATTAAATACGATTATTCATTGACTTTGAAAAAATCCATTTATTGAATTTTAAAACAAATACAAATAATAATTTGAACAGTATCTTTTTAACTGTTGATTACCCTGAACGTATAATTCAACTGAAAAACCAATACAAAAATAAATTATACATTTAAATAAATAATATCAAAATAATAAATACCAATAAACAAGATCAACAAATATTTTGGAGTGCACTTCCCCAAGCTACTAAACATATATAAATATGATAAATACAAATAAATGAGACCAAAATTAATTGGATCAAATATGTTGCAGTGCACTGTCACAACCTAGCAAAGCTAAATAATTGTTTTTTTCGATTATGTTGTTTTCGTAATTGTGGCAGGCCAAAATCGTAATTGCGATTAAAATACGATTAATTGCACAGCCCTAGTACATAGCTACAGTGTAGTATGTATGTCAATGACCATCTTAAAGGTCACCTATTATGCAAAATCCACTTTTTCACGTCTTCTATACATCAACATGTGTCCCCTCTGTGTAAAGAGACTCTGAAAGTTTCAGGAACAAAGATTCTCTCTCTTTTTGTCCTGATCCATTTCTATAAAAACCTGTCTGAAAATGAGCTGATCAGATTTTGGCCACTTCATGATGTCATAACGATGTGTTGTCTTGTGTAACCATTAGCCAATCACCAACCAAGGTAACCCCCCCCCCCCCCACCTTATCACCTGAATCTCCTCCTAGAGCACCATTGAGTTCTTTGTAACCAAATGTCTCTCAGAGGGGCGTGGGGAGGGGCTCCTTATTTTCATCTGAAGTAACAGACAGAGAATCAGCACTTTGGAAACAGGGCTGAAACAGAGGGGATTATGGGATGCTGCAATGATCTGTTTGGTGTTTCAGCCAATCAGAGACAGGTTTTGTATATATCTGAGACCTATAATATATTGATGAAAAACCATATAATAGGGGACCTTTAAGTCACAGGCTCCTCCAACAGTGCAACACAGAATAACAGATACAAATTGCTAAAATAGTGCAAGGAGAGTCAATATACATGCAATTGGATTATTGTGTGTGTGTGTGTGTGTGTGTGTGTGTGTGTGTGTGTGTGTGTGTGTGTGTGTGTGTGTGTGTGTGTGTGTGTGCGTGTGCGTGTGCGTGTGTGATGATGTGTGTACATGCACTTTAGTTCAACTGGGGAAAAGGTATTATTTACAGTTAAGGAGCTCCTGGAAAGCAGTTTTTTTAATGGATTTGTAAGGAATCCTGTTGCCTTTTCTCAGAGGTAGTGGTGTCATTTAGGGTAACAGCACATTCACCAATGCCTCTGTCCAGTAAAGCAACACTAGAAACATGTAATCTGTATGTGTTGCTTGGTGATTCAAAGATAAAGTTTGACTGTTTTCAGGCCATGTTTCTTGGTAGAGATCGGGACCAGAAGTATGAGCTTTACTAGGCGTGTCACTGCAGATGTTGGATAGATGAATTTGCAGTTACGATGTGCATGTAGTAATTATTGATTTGAATAAGGCAGCATCTCATTAGACAGTCCTCTTCTGGACTCATCTCATATTCCTACTGAGTTCTGAGATTTCTGAGTTCAACAAGAGGAACAGGAAATGAAAACTCAGTTCTATAGATGCTAACTTTAGCAATGGAACAAGAGTTGAATGTGTATTACTCCTTATTGAATGACAATCTTTAGTGTTACTCTTTTTATTAATGCAACAACAGGCAATTTAACTTCATGATGGATGTAAATAATAAGAAGCCACCACATGCGGTTGTGTGTTGGTCAGAGCAGCAGGACGTTATCAGTAAATAAGGGGAATGAGGTTGAATGCATAAAATAAATGTCTTCTAAAACCATGAGATTTGTATGAGGTTTTATCCAGCAGTGATCCTGAAACACATTCATTTTCACGTTCAAAATGAAATGTAAGAACATCTCAATACAATGTTGACATGTAGTGAGAATCTGTATGAACTCTTTCGTATCACATTTTGTTAAAGGTATATTTTAAAAGTGCATTTGTATTATATAACCGTTGAACAGTGCACTGCAGTTCTCTGGATACTTCTGCTGTGCTGCGGTCTGTGAGATGTCATAATATTAAGGTTTAGTCATGTTATTTTCAACCCATTTTCTGGATCCTATAAATCTTATCTTTAGTTATTTTATGACTAGTTTCAGTGGGGCTGTGTGTTGGCAGGAATCTAGAGTCTTTGAATAAGTACTATCATTTGATTTTGACTATTCCTGCAGTTTTCTTTTTGTGTCGTCGGCTTTTTTTTCTGTGTTTTTTGCTATGGCTACACTACAGTACATCTTAAGTATCAACACATGCATGAAATGAAATGACACTGTAATCCCTCACCCACCCCTTATCTATTGTTTATTTTCTGTGTAAGCATTGCCCTTGTAGTGTTTCACTGTCTTTCTTGTAATATTTGGCTTCGGATATGTACAGTAAAATCTAAATGCATGCTGCTTATCATTCCAATAACTTGTATATAGACTCGTACTGCACTATTCCACATCATCACTTTATTTTATTTTATAACTATTATTCTTTTTGTATTGCTCTTGCTCTTATTGTTATTATGTTATTATGTTGCATTGTTGGAGAAGCCTGTGACATAAGATTTTCAACTACATAATTACTCTGTAGCTATGTCAGATTGACAATAAAGAACCTTGAACCTTGAACCTTGCTGGAGGACGCACTTTAAAAAAAAAAAAGCAGAATCTCCAACCTTTATTTGATGAATACATCCCATGTTTTGGGGCACGATGTGTCAAATCTGCGGCAGAATAATTGGTGTGAAAACGTTGCATTTCCTGACTTCTTTGCAAAATGACGCCTTTATTTTCTCATGAGAAATAGTGAAAGTATCTGACTCTGACAGCAGTTTGTGTGCCGTCCCCTGCCAGCAGATAATGGTGTTTCTTTCAACTGTTTCTGACCCTAAACCTAACCAAGTGGATTTGTTTGCCTTTCACTCTCAAATGCTTCACTCTGCACAACCTGTTTTGTATTCAAGACTTTTTTCTTCTTTTTTAGCTGACTGGCAGAAAGCACAGTGTACAGGTGCATACAGATATAAAATGAATCCAATAGGACATGCTAGAATAACACAGTCAAACAAAGGATTCCTGTTAAACGCGATGGGATATATCTCCGTCTGTTACTTATCATATTCAGCAGCAAATAGCGTCTTTAAGGCAGAAAAATGAGCCCTGATATTCCGCCTCTGCTGACTGTGTGCAGACCTCAGCAGGAAGTACAAAGAAGAGGCAGAAACCATAGATGATTGGCAGAAACTACAAACCAAAGCTCTGCTGCATTCATTGAAAGTTGCACTGTTCCCATGGCTGCTTATTTACTGGATGTGCCAGTCTGTTTCATGTTCTCCAAAGGAAACCACGCCAAAGCATCTTCTGCTGGTGGCCGGTCCAGCTTTCTCTGGACGGAGCTGTCAATAAAGCTGAGAGAAAATATCTCACTTTTTACCCGCTTATCTTTTCATGATAACTCACTCCTCTGGGCTTCTATTCATTCCTATATTTGACTCCTTCTCTATGATCCTACTGAAATGATATTCCCTGCCAAATGTTGTCTTGCCCTCACTGTTGTAAGGGCTAATTACTTTGTATGCATTATGCAGCAGGTTATGGACTGGTTAAAGCGTTTTATAATTAGACTATGCAGGCTGTCATCGCCGTATTCAATATGAATCATCACATTTTTTATGATTACTTCCTAAAGAACAAAAGCTCCCCTTGTAGATAAAACTAGAAGCATTTCCGTTCAAATGTATCAATTCATTAATGAAGATAGGCACAGCTTGCTAATTGAATGGAAAAAAAAGTTAAATGTTATGGTAAATTTGTTCAGCATTCCTTGATAATGAATTCCTTGCTATAACATTACATTACATTGCATTTAGCTGACGCTTTTATCCAAAGCGACTTACAATAAGTGCATTCGACCAAGAAGATACAAACTTGAAGAAAACAGAATCATATAAGTACATCAGGTTTCATCGAGCCGAAACATTTCAAGTGCTACTCAACTGGCTTTAGATAAGCCAGTGCTTTGTTAGTATATAAGTGCTTTGATAGTAAATGTATTGCTCGAAGTGGAGTCGAAAGAGATGAGTTTTCAGTCTGCTCCGGAAGATGTGTAAGCTTTCTGCTGTCCTGATGTCAATGGGGAGCTCATTCCACCATGTTGGAGCCAGGATAGCAAACCCACGTGTTTTTGCTGATGGGAACTTGGGTCCCCCTCGCAGTGCGGGTGCAGCGAGCCGTTTGGCTGATGCAGAGCTGAGTGCACGTGCTGGGGTGTATGGTTTAACCATGTCCTGGATGTAGGAAGGGCCAGATCCATTCACAGCATGGTACGCTAGTGCCAGTGTCTTGAAGTGGATTCTAGCAGTTACTGGAAGACAGTGAAGGGAGCGGAGGAGCTAATTCTAAAATTATAGAATACAAGTATAAACGTGCATGTTACTACGGTCATTAGTCTGAAACCAATGATTCAGACCATTTATCTCACACCTTAGGTCACTGGTAGAAAGGCCGTTTAATACGTTGGTCTCCTGAATCTGAATGCAACACGCTCTTATTCAGCTGCTACAGTAGCTCGACCCCTGTGGCGGCTATATACCGCTCTGAGGCTAAACTTCGCTCATTGGTGTGACGCGTATACATAATCAAGTCTGTACTGAACTCGACGTTTTAAGGATATTTAATATTGTAACTCAAAATAATAAACAAACAGAATCATACACGTCACATCAATGAGCGAAGTTTAGCCTCAGAGCGGCCGTACTCATTGGGAATATAGCCGCCACAATTGTCAACCAAAGATATCAGAGCTAAGC